GAAAGAAGGGTCCAGACCCGAAACGTCAGCTTTCCTGCTCCTCTGATGCTGCTTGGCCTGCTGTGTTCATCCAGCTCTACACCTTGTTATCTCAGATTCTCCAGCATCGGCAGTTCCCACTATCTCTGCATGAGAAATAATGTTACTTTTTTTCAGGGACATTAAACCCAGATAAACGGGCACCATTTGTTGTGGGTTCAGAAGAATTTGGCATAGTAACACCTCTAAGATTAGTCAGATCGCATGAGGGGAGTAAAACAGAGAAGCAAGGAGACCTCTAGAGTTTAGCTGCATAAATTTATGCAACAGATCTTGTAAATTTAGCTGCATAAATGTTTCTCTCTCCTTTTTCCATAAAGTTGCTCTGCCCAATTTTCAGTTGAAAGAACAGAGAAACTACATTCGGAGATGCTGAAAAAGTAATTCTAAAGCCCAAAAACAAGAAGAAACACCCTGGGTCCAACCAAGCAACCACTGAACTCTAGACTGATCATCAGTGTGCAGATAACATCAGGACATCATCAAAGAAAGGAAAAGGATTGTGAAACCAACTATTTGGTCTTGTGATTTGGACTGGTGATACAGAACTGTGTTCTGCTGATTATTTTATTTCCTTCACTCCATTTGTGTTTGACTTTTTTTGTGTGCGTATGTGAATTTTTAAGAGGGCTAAAACTTAAGGTACAAATGTTAGAATGCTTTCACTGTTCTTGTTAAAGTTAAGATTATTAAAACTGGTGGAAATTTTATTTTGTTACTGAGAAAACCTGGTTTGGTTTACTTTGATTGCAGTTAGCAATCAGTCAGAGACAGACTAAGATTTTTTGGTACTTTGATTAAATCTTAACATTTGTGGCAACTCTGACATAGTGAGACTAAAGGGAGACAATGAGGCATATGAAGAGAAAGCAAAAGATATGCACGCATGAAGGCAGTGCAAAGCCCACACGGTAAAAGGGAATGAGACGCACAAAGAAAGAGATACTTGTCTAGAGAGAAAAACATACAAACAGATGAGAGAAACACATGTAGGATAGAGACAGATACAGAGACTTAAGCAGATAGAAGGAAAGACGAGCACAGAGACACACATGTAAGTAGATCCACCTGTAGATACGTACACACATATATAGAGATGCACACGTATATAGATAATGAGACAGACACAAATAGAAACACACGCAGCTAAAGAAATATAGGCTGAGGCTGTGGTGTATTGTTAGTATCACTGGACTAGTATCAAGAACCCCAGGTTAATGTTGTGGGGATATAGGTTCAATTCCCATCACAGCAGATGGTGAAATTTGAATCCAATAACAAAAAAATGGTGACCACGTAACTACTGTTGACTGGCATAAAATAAAGATCTGAATCACTAATGCTCTTCAGGGAAGGTATATTCTTATTCCTTATTCAATTTTGTTGACTCTAGAATCCCTACAAAGTGGAAGCCAGCAATTCGGCCCATCAAGAGCTTGACACCCATGCAGTTAGTATGAGAGCGAGAGATAGGCACATAGAGAATGAGAAATACACATGGTAAGAGAGACATGCAGAAATACATACAGATCAAAATACAGAGAACGGGAGACTCAGACAGTGACAAATGCACACAAGCGGCAATAATGTATACAGAGACATAAAAGAAACAGACAACTTCACAGAGGGGGATTCAGACACGCAGAGAAAGAGACCTATAGATAGAGACAGAGGTGAACCAGAAAGACACTAGACAGGTGGAGAAAGAGACATGCATAATTTCACAACTCAACTAAGGTAGTGCACTGGAAATCAAGTCCCACTATTTCCAGAGTTGTCAAAATGGATGAAGCTACTGAATTGTCCAATTCAGATTGAAATAATATGCACACTAAGTCTTTCTTTGCCCCCCATTGACTGGTAAATAACTTCATTGCAAATAAATTGTTTTTAAGCAATGGCAGAAAGGAAATGAACTGTTAACTATAACTTACAGTCCACTCCTTCTTAAAATTTCCAAGCACATACATACAAACTGACACATGATGAGACACAAGTATTATGGGTAGGGAAGGAGTGGAAAGTTAGAGGAGCACATTTCTGCCACTAGTCCAGATCACGGATGTCAATGAGTTGTTTCCTTTCAGGTCCTTTTGACTCCTACTGACTCTTTGCTGATGACACAAGGTTGAGGATACACTGGTTCTCAGTCTTTCATTCACTGGTTTTTCCATAAGAGACAGGAACAGACACAGGTAATTTGGACAATCGAGTCTGGTCTGCCATTCAATGAAATCATGGCTGATCTGATATTCCTCAACTCCACTTTTCTGCCTTCTCTCTGTAATCTTTGATTCCCCCACTGATAAAATAAATATATCTCAACCTTGAATATACTTAAGGACCCAACTTGTACAGTCCTCTGCAGTAAAAAGATTCCAGATTCACTGTCCTCATTCCTCCTTATCTCTGTCTTAAATGGTGATGCCTTACTGAGATTATGCCCTCTGGTCCTAGATTCTCCTACAAGGGGAAACAACCTCTCTGCATCTATTCTGTCAAGCCCCAAGAATCTTGGAGAAGCTCAGCAGTTCTTGCAGCATCTGTGGAGCAAAAGCAGAGTTAACATTGAGCTCAGTGAACCTTTTTCAGAACGGTTCTGAAGAGTCAGAACTCAAAACATTAACTCTGTTTTGTCTCCACAGATGCTGCCAGACCTGCTGAGCTTCTCCAGCAATTTCTCTTTTTGTTTCAGATCTTCAGCATCTGCAGTTCTTTGTTTTAGTTTATTCCCTAAGAATTTTGTATGTTTCAATATGGCCAGCTCTCATTCCTCTGAACTCAGATGAATACGGTCTTAATGTATCCTCTAAGAAAATCCCTGCCTACTCAGAATCAACCTAGCTGAAGTAACTCCACAAAGGTTGGTAAGCTGTCACCAGGTCACCCTTTATTTACATGTGGAGAGTCCTTGACACTGATCCAGCTTCCTCTGAGCCTGCACTCGAGTGAACAGAACATCTGATAGTCCTCTTTATATCTGTTAGCCAGGGCTTCTTAATTAGACCAGATTAAAAGCCCCAATCAGAGAACTCATATTCTGAGGTTCACCTGGCTGACCTCATTACAATCACTACATTCCTCCCTCTGAGTTGGAGGACCTGGACCAGTTTTATTTTTGGAGCTCCTCCGGGGGTGTTTTAGGACTGAGTCAGGTTCCTCCAGCTCTGCCTCTGATACGGGTGACGTGTAATGCACAGTAGCACACCCCTTGTGCCAGAAGCATCTTCGAAGAAATTCATTCTCCTCTTCAGGCAGCAAAGACTTCGAGGCGGTGACACCTCAGATTCTGAGGTATCTTCAACGCTTGATGGAGAGGGAGAACCTGCGAGTTCCAGAACAGTTAGAAAGGTAGTTGAGCCAGGCATGTTTTGCTCCTGGATCATTTGTGAGTTTGCAGCTTTTCATATGGTCCATGTGCTTGTTCAGAGCCATTGCACCTACCTGAACTTTATATGTCACTGGACCTGTCCTCATATTTAGCATGCCTCACACCCATGCTGCGCCATTTCCATGGTTCCTACAGCAACCTTCATCCCCTAAAGTAAACGGCTTCTTTCATTTAGCAGGGTCCTGTGTCCCGCATTGGCATTCCTGATGCTGGTTTCCCCGCCACCGGGTCCAGGAAGATCAGATTTAATCTGATGTGGAATCTTCTCCCCATTAGCAACTCTGCTGGAGCTATCTCTGTAATTGCATGAGGAGTGGTCCTATATTCAAATAGGAACCAGGACAGTTTGGTATTTAGTGAAGCTGTAGGCTGTTTCTTTAAGCCTGTCTTCAAAGTTTGGACTGCTCTTTCTGCCAGACCATTGGATGATGGATGGTATGGCGCAGTCCTTATATGACAAATATCATTTGATTTTGGGAAATACTCAAATACCCTGCTAATAAATGATGGCCCACTGTCTGTGACCGACACTTCTGGGAGCCCATGTATTGCAAAAGATGCACACAGTTTTTCTATTGTCCCCATGTTTGACGAATGAACTATATGCACATCCAACCACTGTGAGTGGGGGTCCACAATGACTTAGAACATTGAGCCTGTGAAAGGGCCTGCATAGTCGATGTATAACTGAATCCAGGGTTTACCTGGCCATTTCCGTGAATGTGGGGGAGCTGCTGGCAGTAATTTTCGTCCTTGTTGGCACTCTGGGCACTGCCTCACCAACCTAGCTATGTCTGCATCCACTCCTGGCCACCAGAGATAACATCTCACCAATATCCTTACTTTGAAAAACCCTGAATGACCCTGGTGAAGTTCAGCCAGTATCTGGCAGCGACCTTTGCTCGGGTCAATCACTGTTGCTTCCCATAATAATATGCCATTCCCTGGTCACTCCAAGTCCGGAAAGGCTTCAATTCTGGTTGTAATGGCCCTTTGGTTTCCCACATCACCACCAAATGTTTCAGTTTTGCCAGGACAGGATCTTTCTGCATCCAAATTCTGATATTGTCAGCTGTGACTGGAAGTTTGTCCAGAAAATGTAAAACCCTCACAGACTCTTCCAGTGGTGTACCACCAGTGGTGTATCTGCCAGTGGAAGGCATCCACATTTGCTACTTGGCCTCCCGGATGGTGTTCCATCTTGTAATTATACACAATTAGTATCAGAGCCCATTGCTGAATTTGGCCTGAAGCTATGGGCAGCACTATCTTGACCTCTTTAAGTAGACCTAGCAGTGCTTTGTGATCCATTATTAGTACAAATTTACGTTTGTAAAGGTACTGATGGAACTTCTGACTCCAAATATGATTGCCAAGTCTTTCTTCTCTATCTGGACATATTTATACTCTGCATTATCCAAAGTCCTGGATGCCTATTGCTATTGGGTGTCCCTCTCCATGGACTGTGTATGAGCTAATGCTACCCTAATGCCGTACAAGAACTCGCTTGGGATCATGATACGCCAACACCTTAGAGGATGTTAGCTGTTCCTTCACTTCCCTGAAAGCTAAGGCTTGGCTACAGGACTATTTTTCAAGGCTGACCCTTTTTTTTTAAAAGAGTTGATGCAAAGGCACCAGGATCGAGGCCAGGTTATGCATGAACTTTCCGTAACAGTTCACCAGCCCAAGGAAAGACCTTAGCTCCAACACTGACATAGGAGCCCAGGCACCTCTGATGGGCCTCACTTTATCTTCCAATAGGTGTAACCTGGTCTTGTCAACTCTGTAGCCCAAGTAGGACACCTGGGGTGCCTGGAACACACAATTTTCCCTTCTGAGGCGTACACTCACTTGAGAGAAACGTGGACTATGTCCAGGTTCTCCAAGTGCTCCTTATTGGTCTTCCCTGTTATTAGCGTGTTGTTTAAATAAATGGTGACCTGGGATGGACCTCGTAAAATTTTCTCCATCATCCGCTGAAAAATTGCACAGTGAGGGAATCAAAAGCCAATGCAAGGTCAGGAAAGTGGAGTTGAGAATTATCAGATCAGCCACAGTCTTTTTAAACAGCAGTGTAATGGTCTACCTTTGCTCCTACATTTTGTGGTCAGTTGGATAATCTCAGACCAGAAAGATTCTACCTACCCGGAAATGCTAAACTGATTGCGTTCTCAGGAAAAAGGAGTTAGAGGAAGTGGTGGCCTCAAAGAGACTGTGAAGACTGTATTTTATCTTTGCATTTTTTGAAACTATGAACTGAAATGAGGAATAACTGATTTGAAACCCAGGAATTTACAAAGTTGGCTGCATGTTTTGAAAAGTAAAGAATTCGA